CCTTCTCCAGGTTTGTTAAAGTCTAATTAGTTTTGACAGTTTTTTCATCAACATAATTAAGGAAGACAAACTCAGAACAGGACTGATTACCGTGATGATCTGTTCTCTCTTTGCAAAGAAAATAAAATGGCGACTGAGTGAAATCCATCGATCTCCGTTTATTTAATTAGGGCGAATAGTTGAATACTTTTTTCCGACTGGAGGCAGAAACCAGCCTCACAGCGAGCGCTTAGAGAAGATCCATGGATATTTGGAAAATATAGAAAAATGTTGGGAAAGCAGTAAAGTTACCCTGAAACCTTTTTTTGAATCGAACATTTTTCAACATTTCATTTTCTTTATGAATTTTTTTCATTTAAATTTACAAATATATATATTTTTTAAGTTTCCATTCACAAAATGTACATTTTTTTTTGCACGAATATTATATTCTTCTCTGTGCAGCTAATGTCGCCTTCATGATCTGAACGTTTGATCTTCAGGACTTTTAAACCACCGAGTGAAAAATATCAACAATTCTTTCAAAGCACAGAAAACATAAAAAAAAAATGTCAGAATCTGCAGAACTTTACGATCTTTGAATCTTTAAAACCCATTTTAAACGTCTGTAAGCTCAATCTCCAGTTCACTCAACCCAGGTCGTTAGTGCTGCCCCCTGCTGGACAGCGGAGCCATTTAGGAGTTACCAGCTGTTAGCGGCTGGGTTTGGTGGTGGTGGTGGTGGGGGGGGGGGGGGGGGGGGGGCATCGAAAAAGAAAAGAAAACACAGACATTTGATAGATTTGCTCATTTGCTTTATTTAATCGAGGGGGGGGGTCGATTATTATTATGAGGTGTGAGTCGATGATGTGAAGGAAGTTAGTAAACTACAGAAATGTTTTAAAAAGATGCAAAGAAAAGGAAGAAGCGTTTAATCAATCCCACCTGCAACAGGAGCAATCTACGCAGGAAACGGTGGGATGATGGTGATCTATGACAGGTCCAGGTACATTTCACAAGAACAAATACGCTCAAAAAGAAACTGTTTCCTTCCTTTTCCTTTGCTGGGGAAACAATCTTTACATTAATGTTCAGTATATAAAGGTTAAATTAGCAAATTCTTATTGAAAAAGACGAATAAAGATTGAATCTGTGCATAGAGTCAATCAAATGGGTGAATCTAAATAAAACAATCCTCCATCTAACATTTAACTTAATGATGGCAGCCATGTTCTCAAACAGCCAGGATGACAGAAGAAATGACCTTTAGAGTCATAGTAACTGTTATGAACTTACAGAGCTTATTTAAGATGGTTTTTAAAAATATCAAACAGTTTTTACAGCAATAGATAAGCGCTATTAAATCACTTTAAAACAGCAGAACCGCTAAAAACCAAGAAAAGAACCGTATGCTTAGCAGGAAAAGGCACACACCTCCATCACTTTGTCCTTCTGGCCCAAAGCTAACCTGACTCCCTTTTTCCTCCTTTTTTACCGTCGCCTCTAAAGGCGTCTGCGCAAAAATAAAACAGCAAAAAAAAAAAAAAATAAGTCGACTTTTTTTACATCGTAAAACAAACGTACATAGCAGGCGTCATCGTGTCTCTCTGGAATTGAAGAGATCCCGATTAGGACTTCATCGACGGTAGAAGAACGTTTTCAGTCGGCCTCTTTTGTTACGTTTGTTAAAAACGTTTAATTTAACATGAATATTTCTAAACTGAAAGCGCAGGAAAAAAAAGGATCCTGGGAATCAGCAGATCAGGAAGACGCTGGATTTGAAGTTGATGTGAAAATGATGGTGAACTGGGCGAAGGGGCCGTGGCTTTATGTTTGGTTTTATTTACAGGAGAGACGAACCGGCCGCTGGTTTTCTAAAAACAGACATTTCATGCGTCTGCCGTCTAATTCGAAAGTTAGCTATTTTTTTTTGTACAAGTTTTGCATCAAAGAGGTGGATGAATAATTTCAGTGTCAGAGATGTCTAAAGATGGGAATACAGTCTACGAGTTTTTGCCCTTTTTGGGACGATTTTCCAGTTGTGCGAGAATTGTTTGGATCGAGTTTCAGCCTCATCGTGCGTCCTACTTCGTGTCGTAAGGAGTGGCGATCAGCCTCTAATGACAACCTCCTGATCAGGTATCGTGGAGAAAATAAAACATGTTTAAAAGTATTGGTGGGTAAATCCTAGCCTGGTGAGACCATCCTGATCTTGCGAGCTTTCAAGGTTTCACTCGCTAATCAGTCTGGAGACTCTCCGTTGAAGAAAATTTGGAGCCGTTCACCAAACGAACGTCCAATCAGCGTTGGCTTTGAGGCGGGTTGAGGTGTGACGCAACGAGAAGCGCGACAGTTCAGTCTAAAGAACATGGCGGCTTCAGCCGATGAAACTAGCGTTAGCGTGGCTATCGAGCAAGTTTTATGGGAATTACAGAGTATTTCTTCACTGAAAGAAGAGCAAAACACTGCTCTGGAGGCTTTTCTCAGAGGGAAAGATGTTTTTGCTCTTCTCCCAACTGGTTTCAGCAAGAGTAGCCTGGCTTGTGGTTGTGTTTTCGTCGTCGCTCTGTTAGTACGTCATATGCTTCGTTGATCTGATTGGTTTATTTGGCCCGTCTATCACCAACATAGGCCAATCAGCTAACCAGTATTTTCGCCCCTTCCCAAAATTATTTCAACAGAAGGAGTCAGGTTAGGTAATTCCTGCTGTAGAAGCTGATTTACCAGAACCTCGACCACTGAGCAAAGAAGGAAGTTCTTCTTCCAGATTGCCGACTCTGAAAAGCGCCATCTCTCCAGTGGTGAACTTTCAAACTCTGCGGTTTTGTCGTACAGTTTGAGCTGTAACTGCGAATGATTGAAAATATCGTACAACATATGTCCGACTTTAGGGGCCAAGTCACGTAACGTACTTTAACCTCAGCCGGTCCCTCTGGTCACATGCGAAAGCATTCAGAGGAAATGATAGCGTGGCTCTTAAATGTTCTGCACAATAATAGTGTTTAGTTTTTTCTCTGTTTGTAAGGAAACAAAGTTCTTTGCGTAGATTTGCTTGAACAAAGTCATCATCTGAGGAACCATGTGATGCATAAGGAAACAAGGAAGAGCCGCAGACATGTGTCCATAAAGATCATGGATGTGAATCCATTGGGACGCTTCAGGCAAAGCAGAAATGGATCCTCCATGGTAGGAAGTAGAATTTACTGTTTGCTGGGTTAGTGAATGAATCATACTGGAGAAGCAGTGAGGTCCAGATAGGCAGATCTTCTCCAGCAGAGGAGTGTTAGGGCCGGGTTAGAGATTTATTTTTATTTTGAGAATAAAGTCGAAATATTAGGAGAATAAAGTCATCATTCATCAACCCGTTTCAGAAAGAAAGCTTGGAGCTCCACCCAGCAGATGACGGCCGACCAGCTCCACCAATCAGCAACCAGAGTCCACTTTGACATCCTGCCCAGTTTGATGCTGCTGCTAAAAGATTTCCTGATTTATCAAGATGTTAAAGTACTAGCCTCGTGAGACCATCCTGATCTCGCGAGCTTTCAAGGTTTCACTCTCAGATCAGTCTGGAGACTCTCCGTTAAAGAAAATTTGGGAATTACAGAGTATTTCTTCACTGAAAGAAGAGCAAAACACTGCTCTGGAGGCTTTTCTCAGAGGAAAAGATGTTTTTGCTCTTCTCCCCACTGGTTTCGGCAAGAGCTTGATCTATCAATTGGCTCCTCTTCGTCGTCGCTCTGTTAGTACGTCATATGCTTCGTTGATCTGATTGGTTTATTTGGCCCGTCTATCACCAACATAGGCCAATCAGCTAACCAGTATTTTCGCCCCTTCCCAAAATTACTTCAACGGAAGGTTTCCAGATGGATATGCGGAGCTAATCCATCTGGCGGAGTCAGGTTACTAAAGTACAACTTCTAATGATGCTCCACATTCCTCATTTTAAGGAAGAAAGGGCTTCTTGGAAGAATTATCCTAAAATACAACTTGTTTCTCATAATATTATGACTTTATTCTTGTAATTTTATGACTTTGTTCTCTTAATTTTACAGCTTTATTCTAGTAATATTGTGACTTTATTCTCGAAATAGAAAAAAATTATCTGTAGCCTGGCCCTGATACTCCGTCGTAGAAAAGAGAACTTAAAATGTGAAAAATAAAGATGGATGCCAAGTGGCGCTCTGAAAACAATCAGAACATCTACAGCAGCCTGGAGCACGTGGCTGGATAGATGAATAAGAACTGCCAGCAGGTGGCGACGGCGCACAACATGGTTTATTTCTGCTGATCAAACCTGGTGCAAAAATTCCCTACAGGCTCCAACAGGACAAAGTAAACACTATGAGGGGAATGAGGCTGTTTTTCTTTCTTATTGTGATAAAATGCAACTATTTTACCTTCATGATAAATAATTTGGTTGTTTGGATGATTTGCTGTCGATCACCTTAATGTCAGTGGATGTGGAAACTTTCCCCTTTAAAAAAAAACTAATGCAACAAACTAAAAGTGCAGAATCTGTTATTAATGTTGGTGTTTATCTGCAGCAGATCAGGGAGCATTCAGACAATAAGCAGAATGTTAGTGCCTTTAAAAAAATTATAATCTTTCCTTTTATCATTTAGATAAAAAATAAAAAGATGCATCTTTTAAGAATCATTTCTGCTGCAACAGTTTTAAAACAAAAAATGAAATAACTAAAACCGTCTTTGTTATTGAATTTTCTTTCAATCTTGAAAAAATTTTAATTTATTGGTCAAAGACGATTAATTATCAGATTAAAATCATCTTAATAAATAAGCAGCAAACTAAAACCACATTTCTCTATTCCCTGTTATTTTCCATTTTATTCGTCTGATTTTATATATATATATATATATATATATACAGTATATATGAACTTTTTGTTTATCTTAAAGTTTTAAAATGAATTTCAGTAAATTAAATCAAAACTGGATGATTCTGTGAAACTAGAAACTTTTGCTTAGAAAATGTTATTTGTTGCATTAAAAATAAAAATTGTCTTTTTTTCTTTCAGTTCTGTGATTGAGTTTTATTTTGAAAATCCCGTTTCTTTGTCAGTGAGCCTTGCAGAGAGACGCCTGCGATGCTGATTGGTTGACACGCCTGGATCTAACGGCTTCCTATTGGTCGCATTGTTTTCAGTCTTTTTTATCGTTTTAGTTCACGTCTGTTTTTTTATTTAACATTCTGTTGAAGGCTGGTTTAAAAAATGAATGTTGGATTTGAACTTTAGATCAAAGTTATCTTTGTGAACATTGTGTTTTTTTTTCTTGCATTAAACACAGGTTGCCATGCATTTATATCTACATATGGGGACCTCATTTAGCCTGCAGTTCTTGCCATCTTTGTGAGGACCCACACTCCTAAAGTTGGATTAGGGAAACGATGAGGTGGAGGCAATGCTCCATCTATCCAGACTAACAGAACAGGCAGATTATTTTAATGTTCCTTCCAAAGGAGATTAAATAAAAAAGGGATTAGTTTCTCTGCAATAATCTGAACTAAAGTTAGAACATAGATGAAGTTCTTGTTAACGGCGGATAGTTTCAGCCCATGTTCCGGTTAACCTGGTTAGAAGGAAGGAGGAGGAGCATCTGATCCGAGCAGATCAAAGCTTTAGATGTTTATATCAGAGAATCCTTTGATTCACATCCTGACTCTAGATATCGATGCTCACAGAAGAAAAAAAGGGAATCTCTTAAATCCTGAACTTTCCCAGCTTAGAAAACCTCCATGGTTTAGTTAAAGTGCCTTTAAACTTGTGCAGACGTCGCAACCCAACTCAGCCTTCCGACAAATAAAGGTTTAACAGAAAGAAGGTTTGAAATGAGGGGCTGAACTAGTTCTAGATTTCATTATTGCTACCAGAAAAACTAATCTTACAATTCATCCTTTAAAAGAAATAGAGCTAACCACAAATGCACTAAGTGAATAAGGTTGGTTATTGTCTGACACTATTGAGTCACTATGCTTCAGTTAGGTTGACATCACGCTAATGTTGATTCTCTCAGACTGATGATTGGAGGTTTCTATATTTACATGCAACAGATTTGATGCAAAGTCTAATTTAGAATAACCCAGCCCAAAAATATTGTGCTATTAGCCTGCAGGAAACTCTGTTGACGATGCTGAGTTAATCATCCACCTGTGAGCTAACTTTCCCTTCGTTAAAATATATCAGAATGTAAGTTTGTTAAAATATATTTTTCTTTCTGTCCAGAAATGATTCTTTTTTTCAGTGTTTGACTTCTATCAGTTTCCTCCTTCCCTGTTTTAGAGCAGGTCTGATTCCACCACGCATTGCTCGGTGTACTCCTTCACCAGCTCTACGTTCAAAGTGTTCTGGCAGAAATCAGCCATGGGCCTCCAAAGACCAGGATCCAGGAAGATCTGGCACATCACATGACCCTTCAGGCTGGCTGTGTGCTGCTGGAGGTGGCACAGGAACTGCTGCTGAGCCAGATCCAGATCTTTACCAAACATGTCAATATTCAGGTAATACCTGCGTGAGAAGAAAAGAAAACGTTACCCGGAGAAAAACAATCAGCTGGATGCTTTCTCATCAGTTTATTCTAGGTGGATATGGAAACTAATCATTATTCTAGTCTAAATCTGAAAAACAAATCGTATTCTATCCTACATTTCAGAAAGTGAAACTCTTCAAGCCTTTGTTTCTTATATTTTTTTGATAATTTTGGATGACAGGTAATGAAAAAGTCGTTTTCTGGTTAAATTAGGAGATCAGACAACAGCAGTGATAAACATCATTTATATGTTTTTATAAGAAACGGCTAAACAGAGCACAGAGGACCGCTGAAAGGAACACATGCACTGCAAAAAATGGAAATCTGTATGAGTTATTTTTGCTTAAATTGAGTGAATTTTGTCTTGAATTGAGGAGATAAGTGAGACACCTTGCCAATGCAACAAGACAATTTACATTTAAAATAAGAAAAAAACAATTGCCTTGTCTTATTTCAAGTGAATATTATCTAATTCTCTTATTTTAGGAGTAGAAATACTAATTCTATTGGCAAATCGTCTTATTTACCTACTAAAATTAAGGGTAAATGCACTTATTTTAAGACATTTTGTACTTATTTCTAGATGGTTTTTGCAGTGTGGCGACTTTCCCCCATAAAAACAGCCTGAGGTCGTCTTCAATGAGCCAACTCGGGTTTTATCGTATTTATTTTGGAACTAAAACAATGGTTTACGTTGCTTCTAACAACTAATAATGAAAATGATGAACGTGAAGATTCTCAGTCATCCAGGTCAGAGTCATTCTAAAAAAGTTAAAAATCAATCCTCTGGACTTTGTTTCCAAGTCTGAAGACGTTTCTCTTCCATCCAGGAAGCTTTTTCCATTCCAAATGTCAGAGATAGCGTTTAAAGCCTGGTTTTAGTTTAGAAAACATGCAAATAGAAACGGATGAACGGGTCCCCCCCTTTGGAATGGGGGTCGTTTGGCTTCTTTGTTAGCCTGCAATGCCCCATACCTGTCTATGTCTCTGAGGACACCCTTCTAAGAGACATGAAAGGGGGGTCGTTGACATTATGACTTCCTGGATGGAAGCAAAACGTCTTCAAACTTGGAATCAAAGTCCAGTAGATTGTTTTTAACTTTTGATTAAAATGATGAAAGCGTCCAACAATAACCCATCCTACTAATTGGCCAGCTAATACCAGGTAATCAGCAGGTATGACGACAGTCACCAGGTGGTTACCTGAGGCGTAGTGTTACCATACCTGTGTCGCCATAACAGATAACAGAAACATTGTGGAACTTTTTTAATTTTGTAAAACTTAAGGATGACTCAGCATGCCTTCATGACAAAAACGTTGGAAGACTTGATCAGTTTGCAAATTGATGTTGATAACCAGGGGCGGCGACGGTGCTATGGTAGTTAGCACCATCGCCTCTGAGCAGGAGGGTTCTGGGTTTGAGTCCTGGGAGAACCGGGACCTTTCTGCGTGTGGTTTGCATGTTCTCCCTGTGTCAGTGTGTGTTTTCTCTGCGTTCTCCAGATTCCTCCCACAGTCCAAAAACCTGCATGTTAGGTTGGTTGGAAATTCCGTTCCCTTAGGAGTGAGTTAGCGTGTTTGTTCGTCTTTCTGCGTCTCCGTGTGGCGCTGCGATGGACTGACCCGTCCAGGGTAACTTCAGACAACAAAGGCAACAATTGGTTTCAGGTCCAAGTCTCTACCGTGGCTCTCCTGGTCATTTTCACCTCTTCCGTCCTTTCTGTTCTTTGCTGTTGTTCATCATTCAAATGTTCTCCAGTTTCAGTCAGATTCCACCACCTGTCTCCATCAGGGCGTCCTGGAAGGTGGAGGATCTCCCTGGTCCAATGGCTTCAGCTTCCCTGTCCTGACCGTCCAATCACCCTTTGCTGCCTGACAACTGTGATTTAACCATGCTAGTCAAGGTATGGCTAATGCCAGCAGGAGCTGATTAACTATGGAGGAGCCTCTACTAAGACTCTGTGTCCGAACATCCACCCTAATCACTGCTTACGACATTTTAAATGAGTGTCCGAATGCCTAGTGGATGAAAAAATAGTGGACTCGAAATTTCCCACAATGCACCTTGAAAAGTAGTGATGATCCACGATATAGTGATGGAGGGATTTAGGGGTCAGGGTGGACAGACGGACGCCCTGACCCCGGATACTGGAAGACCTCCTGGGTCCTACTGGTTGGTTCTCAGCTTCAATCAGCATCACAGACAAAGGAGAGACAGGAGCAAAACTCTGGGATTAGGGTTACGAGCCGAGTCATCAGATGCCTCAGCAACCCTTTGCTTTCCAGGGCAGGGGTGCAGGAGTAGAGAGGGGGATCCATGGGAGGAGGCCTTGGAGGAGGCCCACCAGCTCCAGGCCTGCTCCTCTCTCTAACATCCTCCCTGTCACACTTCTCAGTCGAGACTTTGTGATTGAACACCATCCTGAATGCTAGCACGCCATCCTGAATGCTAGCACGCCATCCTGAATGCTAGCACGCCATCCTGAATGCTAGCACGCCATCCTGAATGCTAGCACGCCATCCTGAATGCTAGCACGCCATCCTGAGTGGTAGCATGCCATCCTGAATGCTAGCACGCCATCCTGAATGCTAGCACGCCATCCTGAATGCTAGCACACCATCCTGAATGCTAGCACGCCATCCTGAGTGGTAGCACGCCATCCTGAATGCTAGCACGCCATCCTGAATGCTAGCACGCCATCCTGAATGCTAGCACGCCATCCTGAATGCTAGCACGCCATCCTGAATGCTAGCACGCCAACCCGACTGCTAGCACGCCATCCTGAATGCTAGCACGCCATCCTGAGTGCTAGCACGCCATCCTGAGTGGTAGCACGCCATCCTGAATGCTAGCACACCATCCCGAATGCTAGCACGCCAACCCGACTGCTAGCACGCCATCCTGAATGCTAGCACACCATCCCGAATGCTAGCACGCCAACCCGACTGCTAGCACGCCATCCTGAATGCTAGCACGCCAACCCGACTGCTAGCACGCCATCCTGAATGCTAGCACGCCAACCCGACTGCTAGCACGCCATCCTGAATGCTAGCACACCATCCTGAATGCTAGCACGGCATCCTGAATGCTAGCACGCCATCCTGAATGCTAGCACGCCATCCTGAATGCTAGCACGCCATCCTGAATGCTAGCACGCCAACCCGAATGCTAGCACGCCATCCTGAATGCTAGCACACCATCCGAAATGCTAGCACACCATCCCGAATGCTAGCACGCCATCGCGAATGCTAGTACGCCATCCCGAATGCTAGTACGCCAACCCGAATGCTAGCACGCCATCCTGAATGCTAGCACGCCAACCCGAATGCTAGCACGCCATCCTGAATGCTACCACACCATCCCGAATGCTAGCACACCATCCCGAATGCTAGTACACCATCCCGAATGCTAGCACGCCAACCCGAATGCTAGGACACCATCCCGAATGCTAGAATGCCATCCCGAATGCTAGCACGCAGGTAGCCAACAGCACGCTCTACCAACTGGGCGGGACTCCAGCGAGACAGGAAGAGGTGGATTTCATAAATATATATATATAATGGCTGTTTGTCAAAGGGCTGTATTGTTAACAGCTTCAGTTCTCAGCAAATAGAGACTTTTTAATATGGTTGACCTCGTCTTTAAAGTTCAACACTGACACCTGGTGGACCCCCGACGCAACTGTAGACTAGGACGTCTCTTTGCAGATAATAATGCGAACCCACCTGATCCTAAAGAGACCGACCAGACCGGATTGGATTTATACGGCGCCACATGGCAGATTTCACCATGATGGTGAGCCGTTTAAACACGACACCAACAGCAAAGCAGACACTTTTAATTACTATGCTAATAACTGGTATAGTTCATTAGACGGTTGGTAAAAAATATATAATATGTTTCAAACCGCAATAAAGATCTTAAAGGAACGATTTATTTGAGTATTTTATATTTTACAATACGACTTGGAATTATGGGTAATCCAGAGCGTAGATTAAAACCATAACCATTACGTATAATGAGTTAGCGACGATGGAGACCAAAACGACGACTTAAGCGGATTCCAGAAAAGAAAAAGGAAAGAAGAACCGCTGGAAGATCGGAAATAACTTCCCAAAAATAAAGACGTTCTTTCAAAGAACCGAAGAGGGAGAGGAGGAGTAAAGATGGCGACCAGGAGAGGAATGGAGAGAGCGTGGGGGAGGGGGGGCTGTGAGCATCATGAGCCCGACTCATTTTACAGCAGAATATACTGGGGGGTGCGCCGTCACCAATGGCTCCGTTCAAGGTGAGCAGTCACTATTCTGCAGGTGTGATCATCTACTGCTGAGAATTGCAGACCTGTATCTTCTTGGCTGATTGGAGCCTTTTCCTGAATCTTTATCACCTGTTTTACTTCATATGGGGCCCAGATAATGCTGCTTATTGTTGGGGGGTTACGCCATGGCAACATGGCGGTAGGCTATTTATGTATTTCCCATTGGGACAGACTTACTGAGAAGCATCGCCCACTGCTGTCTGATCAAGGGTACTACCCACAACTCACAGATCATTTGTGTCAAAAGTGAAAATAAAAGCATAACTTGTAAAGTTGAATTTGTGACTCAGGTTCACTGATTCAACCCAGATTCAGTTGAATTCATTGATTTGTATTAATGTTAAGTAAAAAATATATAATATAATTCTTTCCTTATAAGATTTTAATAAACGTGTTGGAATTAGTTTTAGATGAACTGTAGCCAAACTGAATGGAAGACATTTGGATGGGAAACTCTAAGAACAAAATCTATGTCCTTGTTCTCAAGAACTTGAAGAGGTGTAACTTTTTTTAAAAATTGTGACGGATTAAAAAACAATCTAGAGTTATAAAACTCCAACGTTACAAAGCACAGGTAGTTTGCAGCAATATTTCTGAACCATTGGGAGCAAAACTGAGAATATAAGAGGTTTTTGATGTTCAACTTGGAGAACAGAATCAGTGTGCTTCTACTTGTGAATTTCTTTTTTTTAATTCTGCAAATACAAAACTTATAAAGTAACTGTCTTACACTTACGATGCACATAGTTCTGAAACAAAATGCCCTTCATAAGGCAGAGACTCAACAGGAGACCCACCCAGTTAATCTGACCCCCATCGCTTCACATCAACCGGATATTAAGCCACAGAGGCAAATCGTTTGACACGTTATAACAGATAGAGCTGCTTGAACTGGAGAGAAATAACAATAATCAACTTTTAATGGTGTGTAATGCAGAATCGTTGCTGGTATTGGGCTTCATGTCATTGTCTGGTGTTGGTCCACAGCCAGTCTAGTCTTCCTCAGTCTGCCTTCAGATGGACTCGGTTAAATGTTACTTTCCATGATGCACCAGAATCTTGTTTAATCTCTAGAGATTGAGTTCATGAGGAAGATCAGAGGCAACGGACCAACGAAGCAACCTGGCAACCTGGGCCTCCATTGCTCTCCAGAGCTTAGAAAGGACATTAACCGTGAATATAGATTAACATTATCTATGATCATCAAAATTCCAAGAAATAATGGCTTGAAATATTTCACTATGTTTGTAAATCTATATAAAATATCCACTGAACTTTTTCTTTATGGCCGAAACCAAAAAGAAAACAATTTTATAAGATGGAATAAGGTGTTAAAATATCTGTTTTCTAGGATAGTTGTGATGATTTCAAGATTGAATTTGTAGCTTCTATTAATTTTTTTTCATAAATAAATAGTTACCAGTCGTCTCCAATGGGCACCTTGAAGGGGAAGGTACACAGACTGGCCACAGTAGGGCTGCACACATCGTCCACCATCCAGTCTATGTCCTTCTTCAGGAGGATGGCCAGGTTGCTGGGTAGAAGCTTAAATGGCTGCCAGTCCTGAATGATGGTGGCGTTGGGAAGCACTCGCTGCATCAGCTCAGTGCTCAGATAGAGCTGATGGATCGCTGTTTGATCCAGACGCACAGGAGGGGGCGGGGCCTGGCGTGTGGACACTGATGAACGAACCCCCTCTGTTTGCATCATCTGGCCAAGATGCAGTTTGAGTTCTTCGGCTCTGAAACGCACCAGCAGAATTCCCTGCGGGATACAATAAATTCATTTCACCCCAAAGATATTTAACGTTTTCCATGATTTCTACGATCCATGATGTTAGGTTGATCATACCTGCTTGGTTATAATACGATACTTTTCAAAATCCTTGGGCCCAAGCTGGTCATCGCGGGTCAGGCGGCTGACTTTCACATCTGGATACTTGGATTTGATCAGTTCGGAGCAGAACCGCAGCAGAACTCCTGCTACACCTTTACCCCTTTCCTGCGGGGCGACACGCAGACCTTCCACAAGCAGAGTCTCTCCGTCATCAATCACACAGGCTGATTCCAGAGCAATCTACAGAGGAGAGAGAGCAACCTAGCATATACAGTCTATAGCCAAACATGTACCGCCTAACCCTACAGTACATGAGAGAGATGCACCAAGACGCCATGTCTGATTCTAAGGCTTAAAACCTTCCTTTTGTCGTGATCTCGGCGCTGATGACTGGTCTGATGATTCATTCTATTCACCTGCTGCTCAGTTTCACTTTACCGCTCATCTGAAGCTTCTGCTTCAGCCTCTATTTAACCTGCCTTCAATCAGTCATCAGTGCCAGATTATTCCAGCCTGTGGTGAGACTTTCTCTGGCGTACCTGAGTGTTTCTGATTGCCTGATCGTGACCTGTTCTGCATCTGGAACTCTGAGCCTGCCTGTTCCCGTTCTGATCTGTTTGCCTGATCGGTCTTTGGACTCCTGCTGGATCTCTGCCTGTCTGTGGACTGAACCTGGAACTGTTTCCTGACTCCATCCTGGATTTCCCTTGAGCACCTCTTGGACCTCTGATCTCCTGGCTCTGACTCCCGAGCAGGTGTTCGACCCCGGCTATGGCTTCGCCCTCTGGATTATCCAGCCTTCCTTAGCCTGCTTGGTTTTAATCTTCTGCCTGTTCTCTGACCTCTGATCCTTCAGCATGCTGGACTCTCTGGGCATTGCTCGCCACGTTGTGTAGGCAGCAGACCGGTGTAGGTACCAGACCTGCTCGGGTCCTGCTTCATGCCAGTGACGTTACGCTACATGAACGTAGTGGTTGCCCAGACAACGATAATAACATCACGCAGCGTCAGTGTGCCGAGTCGGGAGCATCTTTAGCGTTAGCATGTCTAATGGCCGATGAAGTTTTACCTGATCGATAAAACGGGAAAAAAATCTGTTTCTGGTGAACAAAGTAACTGTTAGAACCTGATATAAAGAGCTGGGTAGCTCTGTGGCTAGCTGTAGCTAACAGGTTAGCCTCTTTTAGCTCGCTCAGTTAGCCATATTAAGCTACATTACTTTTGAATTCGTATCACCAACAACCGTTCGTTTTCTACAAATAGAATAACTGTTTTATTCGTCTAAAATCTCTATAAACGTCATTTTTTAGACGTTCCATTTGTCCTTCTCTGCCCTCAGATCTTAATAAAAGGAATAAAAATCTCCAAAAGAGATTTGATCTTTAGGAAACACCGGCTGTAACCAACCTCGTCCTCTGGACACAGACCGAACTTTAAGGCCAGGTTAGTGACTCACATGTTCATCATCATCCTCCGCCAGATAGACGCGGTCACTAACCTGTGGTCTCCTCCTGCAGAGGTTCCTGCCTTAGACATCGATGATGTTCACTGCAGTTCCTTTTCTAATAAACGTTTTAAAAAATACAACCGTCTGTCTGCCTAGAATACTGGGTCCAATCTTTCTGAACATGAAACCTTTTTGATAAAGCTTCTAGTTAGAGTGTTCTGCTATCTCTATAGTTCTGCTATAGTTCTGCTGCTATAGGCTGAGACTGCTGGAGGACATAGGGACCCCTTTTTCATCATTCTGCTTCATTCTATCTCTATTCTCCCACTCTGCAGAATCTATTAGTTCAATCTCTAACGTTCTGCTCTCTCTGCTTTTTCTCAGAGTAGCTTCATCTGGTCTGTTCCTGTTTGGCTGTGACTCCATCCTGGAGAGAAACTCTTTCTCATCTAGTGAGTTTGGTTTTAATGCCCAGCATGCAAGGCAGTCTGGTTCTGATTTTCTGTAAACGATCACTACACCTCCGAGCGTCATAGTGGAATGTCTTTGCAATGCGTTAAAATGGGATATTTACAGGATGCATGTTCAGCCAGAATATTAGCAGTATCCACATAAACAATAAATAACAAAGAAATGCAGTTTAAGGATCAAACTATATAAATATATTTATATAGAGAGCATGATTGAATGAACTCACCACTTTTCCTTCCTTGCGTGCCAGAATAACTAAGCGGTTGGTCTCCTGCAGCCAGCTAGTGTATCGGGTGGGAAGGTAGTCCAGACCGCCGTATATGTCCTGACTCATGGCCATGATCTCATCAAAGTCCTCCTCAGTGGCAACAGCAAACTGAAGGCCGGCTTGGGAAGGAGCCTCAGGAGGCTGAGGGATGGTGAGGTTGGCATCGAGCTTCATCCTGCAGCAGCTGAACAGAGAAAAAAATAAATTATAAAACCTCAAAGTACATCAGCTGTTACCCAAATTATTCTAATAGTTTTATTTGATTTGGTTAATTTCAAAGCACCAAAGGAAACAGTGAAAATCCAACAACATATGAGCCAAATATCCTGGTAGAAAAACAGAGAAGAAGAAGAATCAGTGAGCAGGTTAAAAAAAGAAAGAAGGGGATTCTGGAACGGATCCGTTTAGAGGTTCGATTCGAGGAGAGAGAGAGTCGGTTCTGGAGGATATCTGGAGGAAGAGTCGTCCGAAGTCTGGGAGCATAGCGGGAAAAAGTTCTTCTTCCTGTGGCGCTAAGATGAGAAGGAGAAACAGTGAGAGGAATGAAGAGGAGGATCTAAATGGAAGTGATGCTGTGAATGAGATGGGGGGGTCTGAGGTAATATGCTGGGGGAGGGGTGGGGGGGGGGAAATAAAGGGAGCAGCTGAATTATGGATCACTTCAAGCTAAAGGAGGGAGACCTCCGTGGGGGAGGGAGGAGGGTCACTATATAAACAGCCGGTTGTAAAGAGGAAGGAAGGAAAACATGGAAAAGGGTTCTGATACGCAGCCTTGGGGAACGACTGTTCTGATTGGATGAGAACAGAATGTGGGCAGAAAGGGAAACATTCAACCAATCAAGGAGGGTTTGGATAATGACAAGATATGGTGTCATGGCAACGCTTAGATCCAATAGAAGGAGAATGAAAAGAAGAATCAGCTTCCATCAGGAGATCATTGCTGATTTTTATGAGAATCCATCAATGTCTTTATCGTCTTAATGAGACCAGAATGAAAAGAGTAGAAATAAAAAAACACCATGAGAAGAAAAGAGAGAGAGAGATAGAGAGAGACTATAACCATCCTTGGAGGGAATGATGTTCACATAGGATGTAGAATTTCCATAAAGTGCAGCTTGTGATTGGATGGAACCATTGATTATATTTTACCAGCATAGAGAGGACATTATTTTGTTCTAGCGCGGCGGAGGCCTGAGTTTAGTTTAAGGTTAGTCCTGGTAGTAGGTAGGTAAAAAAAAAGCAAAGTTTTCCTTTGAATGTGTTCGTAATCTCTCTGAACATCGTGTTTTTATTTCATTACTAATGTTCTGGTTCCCTATGAGCTGCTGATCGTCTCCCCCTGGTGGTCGGGAGCACTTCCATCATAGGACACTTGCATGTACACTGGAAAAATTATCTAGAAATAAGTAAAAATGTTTTAAATGAAGTGTATTTACCTTTAATTTGAGAAGGTAAATGAGGTAGTTTGCCAATGGAATGAGTATTTTTACTCTTAAAATAAGAAAATAAGATAAAATGCACTTGAAATAAGACAATGCAATTGTGTTTTTATTTTTTATTTTAAATGTAAGTTGTCTTGTTCCATTAGCAAAATGTATCCTTTACCTCCTCAATCCAAGAACAAATGCACTTATTTTAAGAAAAAAACGACTTATCTGGATTTCGATTTTTCCAGTGTATGCTGTGTGTGTTAGTATCATTTATGTGTTTGCAGGATGTGTTTACTTTGCTGTTCATTGTTCATTGTTGCGTTTTTCCATCCTGGAGAGAAATATCAGCTGTGCTGCTGCCATCAACACCTTTGTTTCTAGATGTTGGAGCTTGGCCTGTTTTCCAGTGTAGTCCTGTTTCTCTGACTGTGACTAACTGGATGTGCTCTCTTCATCCTCTGACATGGGAGCTGGCTCGGAGCTCGTCTGCCTGGCTGTGTGGGTGGGGGGGTTGGGGGCCTGTGGAGCTGGTTGACAGTTGCCTTCTCTACCATAGAAAGTGTTTATCGATCAGCGCTTCTATGTTCCTTTTCTATGCGTGATTGCACCATTTCCCAGTACTGTTGACATAAAATCTAAAGTAATTATTGGTTTTAACTATTTCTTAATTTTCTACTTGCCTTAGTTTTCTATTGAGGGTAAATCTGGTGCTTGAAGTGTAAAAGTTTTCATTCTGCTTCAGCATGAAGCAGGAATAACATGTCATGGTTAGAATGTTGGTTTTGCTTCACTAATCGTGTCCTAATAAACTCTGATGTGAGCTGTGAGGGTATGTGCAGTAAAAACAAAGTCTAGTCACAGCAGAGAGTCTGGCTGGTATTTTCCCATCATGCTTTGGTGCTTTCAGAGGAGCTTGGCTGGATATTCGGTTCCTGCCGCTGAGCTGGATGCTGTTTTGTTTTCCAGCTTCTGTCCCGCGGTCGCTCACGCATCGATTCATTGTCCTCTTTATCCTCTAACGTCGGCTTGCTTTTCCGTTTGGTCGGCGCAGCCATGGAATTTATGAGCAGTGACTCACAGCGGATTCTTCTCCAGATAAACACGTTTTCTAGCAACAACAACAACAACATGGCCGACAGCAGCAGCGCCTCCAAAACAACAACACTACTAGAGATAATTACTGCAGTTATAGAAGATATTAGATAGAGGATCATTTAATGGACACAACAGTTTTATAAAACTGCTAAATTAATAAAATAAACCTGATAACGACTGAGCCTAGAAAACACCACCTAGCTTTCATCTTCAAACGTCGTCAGATTTTAGCCTCCTGCTGCTAAAGTCAAAGAATCTTAATGTTTATTCGCTTAATATTCAAACATTTGAATCAATAAACAATAAGATTAATTAATGTCAAATTATCTTCTAAATATTTTATGAAACTATTAACTAAATTAATTACTAGAAAATGTCATTGAATAACAGCGGAGAAACTGTTAAATTGGAATAAAAGTCATTTGCAGTAAGAGATGATTTCTACACAACAAAAAAATTTACATTTTTTGTTTTTTAAATTAGGGCGTTTCTTCTTGATTGAGCAGATTAGTGAAACACTTTGCTTATAAATGAGACAATTTACATTTAAAATAAGAAAAAAGACCAGAAGTCTCTTATTTCAAGTGCATACATCTAATGTTCTTATTTTAAGGGTAAAAATGCTAATTCTATTGGCAGATCATCTTAGTTTCCTACTCAAATTTAGGTTAAATACTCTTATTTTAAGAATTTTTTTCACATTTTCAGAAAGGTTTTGCAGTTTATTATTCCTGTGTTTATACAGCAAAAAATGGAAATCTAGATAAGTTTTTTTTTTCTTAAAATAGCTGCATTTGTTCTTGAATTGAGGAGGTAAGGGAAACATTTGCCAACGGAACACGACGATTTTTTATTTAGAATAAGAATTACAAACATATATTATCTACTTATCTTATTTTAAGAGTGAAAATACTCATTCTCTTCTTAAATCAAGGGCAAATACACTTAATTTAAGAATTTTGTTGACTAATTTCTAGATCGTTTTTTTGCAGTGAATAATTTCTAATATTTTAGCCTAAAGATACTGAAAGGATGTAGAAAATACCTGCTAGAATAAACCTTCACAGGTCAGTGATGCTTTAACCGTCCCTGTCCTGCGGACGCCCGGACGGGACGAATCGTCCTTTCCTGTGAACTGCTGCTCATCATTGGAAAAACATGCCTGCTGGGTCTATTGATTGCTCTACATCAGCGGCTCCCATCATGTCCACAGCAATCTCCCATCCGATTGCAGAGGTTATGCACGGCCATGAGAGGAAGCATCTGGAAGGGCGCCTGCAGCTGCGGCTGCCTGTCAGCAGCTTCCAATACATTCCTGCTGGATTTTATTAGATGCAAAATGTTGGAATAAATAAAAAAAATGATGAATTTTTCACTGATTTATAAAGAAAGACGACTTCCCTCTGCACTGCCCCCCCATTTTGAAACGTTTGTTCTCTAAAAAGGAATATTCTGCTGATAAATGAGCTATTACGTTGACAGTGGTTAGCTCTGCAGCACAGAGAGGCTCCTGTTCAGTAAAATCTGTTCTCTATTCGACCAATGAGGGAAAGTTCATCCGTCTATCATCCTGACTGACAGCTGCAGGACTTTCTAATGTTCAGAATAACTTCTCTGTTATACTGAACATATTTACATGGAGGATACTGGAAGTACTGAGATTTAGAAACATTTTATTGTCATTTTGTTCCCACAGGGTGAATAAAACCTTATTAGTACAGATTTAATCGGATTTTTTAAAATCTAAAATGCTGTTTATTATATATTTATCAAAGTTTAGTGGAGCATTAATATCTACTTTAAAAACATTGATTTTGTGCTTTTATATTAAACATAAATGTAATTAATAATAAACATTATGTAATGAAAATAAAAATTAAAAACACCAAAATTAAACCTAAGAATTCTCTCCTTAAGGATAAATGGAAATAAATGATGGATGGATTTAATTTCTACTGGATGGAATAACTTCCAGTCTTGTTTTCTTTAGTGCGGCTGGTGGGTATGGGGGGAATTTGGTCCCATTATTGGTTCAAGGAAAGAACAAATTTCATAAATGAAAATTTAGGGGAAAAAAACACATTTTGTAAAAGTAGAATTAAAACATACAATCCAGAAACAAGACTTCTAAAAACTTCTTAATCAAAATATGATTTTAAAAGGAACTTTGATTTTACTCAGATTTTACTTCTTTTTTTTTTCCACAAAAAAAATCTTTGTTTTTTTCAAAATTTCAGTTTTTTTGTTTTTTTTACTAATTTTGTGTTACAAGTTCTCTTCTGTCTCTAATACTTTATGTGAAAAACAGAAATTAAAAATTAATTTGACAAAATAGTCAAATGTGTTAAAATGTTCTTGAAATATATTTGAAAAAAATGAAATAATAAAATCTCAAAAAAATGTATCTGAGAAAAACTACTTTTAAAACGTTTCATTTTAAATTTGACTAATATATTGTTTTCTTGCAGCAATAATGGAGCAAAATTGACTCCAGTGGTCAATGGTTCCGCCTGGAGGATAAAGGACGGCGGCTGATGAGGAGGGGGAAGGTAGGGAAGGGATAGCATGCTAGCTGAGGCCGGCTAATTTGGAACAAAGCTGACCACGCATTTAGGAAATCAGACTTTTTGATCGTCTAATGACTGCAGGCAACAAGTTT